ACCTTGGTGGGACCGCGGGGTTGTCACCCGAGTTAATCAGCTTCATTAATGACCCCTCTCTGTGCCTCAGTTTCCCCACACGAGGGACAGGAGGAATAGAGCCTTTCAGATCTGAGCTGATCCTCAACCATGTGCCGTGAGCCTTGGGTGAGGATTGCTGCCACGCCAGCCATCCCACCTGCTGAGTTTGCAGAGGATGAGCTCTTAGGAACCCAAATGATAGCGAGGAAAGGAAAACAGACCCTAGAAGCAGAGGAAGGAACGGCCTTCAGCCCGTGTTAAAGGTTAGCATTGCAGACACGTTTATAATCATAGCTTTCACCACCGCTCGGCTCCTCGGGGGCTCAAGGCAGTCACTGAATTATGTTTTCTTTTCCTTTTTTTTTCCTTTTTGCCAAGAGACTGAAAGGGGGAGAGGAAAAAAAAAACTATTTGTTTGTCTTGTCTAATTTAATTTATGTTATTTATCAAATAGACAGGTTATTTGGGAAACCAGATGGACCCGGGCTAAAATCATCTGTATTTCCAACATCTGAAAAATTATGCCAGAGTGGACACATGAAGTGTGCTGCGTGTTTTGTGTGCGCTGCTCACGTGAGCTGCTGCTCCTCGTCTGCCCTCGACCTTTAATCAGTCGTCCCAGACCCGAGATGGGGGTTCAAGAACAAAAAGGCCCCCAGGCACCTGCGCAAGTGTGGCCGGGGAGGGTGTCTTCCAGAGCAGCGTGTCACAATTATTTACCCTCTCTGGCTTTCAACCTGCACGTTAGCTGGTGCATCCTTCCTCCAGCGGTGACAAACGGGACGCATTTTTGGGCACGTGCTCGGGTTTGGAGTGGAGCAGGTGACGTTTTCAGCATCTGTTTCTTCTCCTTTGGGTTATCTGTTAGGAGAAAACAAAATGCAGAAGGCAGAGTGGCAGGAATAGGAACGGAGCAGATAATTCAAGAAATACTATGTGAGAATACAGTAAAGGGAACTAGCAGGCACGTGCTTTCCTCCCTGAGAAGGACTGATGATGCCAAGGTGTTGCCTCGTGCAGGTGGGAGCAAGCCAGTGGCAAATCCCAGGGGCAGGACGGCTGCCCAGGCTCGGTGCAGGGTCTGCTCGCCCTGTCCCTGTGGCCATTGCTCCTGCTGCACTAACCTGCCAGGGCTGAGCTCGGGGCTGCCCCATCCACCTCTGCCAGCAGCGGGACCCTGAGGGAGTTCCTCCTGCAAGAGCTCAGCCCTAGCGCGCCTCGGCTGCCCGTGCTTAATTAACGAGCTGAAATCAAACAGGACATTGGAACCTGGTGAAGGCCTTCCCTCCCCAGGACCCACTGAGGAGCTGCGAGGGGCTGTGCATGGGTGGGACAGCCCGACAGCTGCTTTATCACCAAGGCCTGAGCCTGGGGCAGGCCCCCTCACCGGGCTTCCCTGCACCCAGGCCCCCTTGCTCCCAGGGCAGGAGCCCACAGCCCCGGAGGCTCCTGGCTCTGCAGAGTCCGGCTGAGCTCCTGATACGGAAAACACCTCCCTGAGACTTGCGGCAGGGCTGGGTTGATTAGGCGACCTGTAAAGCGAAAGTTTCATTCTATATTAACGATCAGTCATTAATATTAATTATAACACTGCGTGTACTCCGTGTGGACAGATGTTCAGTCCTTGGGCGTTATTATTTTCTCTTGTATCATCCAGAAGCCCAATTTATGGCTAACTCCAGCGATGCCTCTCCAGGCAGCGGAGATCTAAACCAGCTGTAATTAAAGAAAGTGACATAAAAGATTGCAGCGTGGGAGGGAGGGGCGAGAAGCAAATCTTACAGCTTTGCAAGAGATTTAATTTTATTTTTTAGCTAATATTTTTTTTTCTCTGCTCCTCAAGGCTGTTTTCATGCAACGTGCTCTGTGCTGCTTCCCTCAGAGCGGCCCATTGATTTTCAATATTTGATGGTGTTCGTGCATGTGGTCATGGAGCATCAGCATCGAAGAAGCGTCCTCCCTTTGGAGGGAGAGATGTGCACGTGTTCACGTCTGTCCTCGCACCCATCCAGCACCCCGAAAGCTGCTTGTATCCTCCAAACCTTCCCCTCTGCCACGGGGGATGCTCCACGGAGCCTGGGTGTCCTGCATTCTGGCATGGCTGGTTGTGTCCGCCGTGCCACGGCGGTGTGCCCCGGCCGAGCTCAGCCCC